GATCCCTTTTCCGTCTTGTTCGAAGCTGCCAGATCCGGTTTAGGTGCGGGGAATGATCGAGTAAGCCAGTTGCACAGCGTAAGCACTTCCCGTTGACCGGTGAGAAAGACCAGAATACCACCAGATGGTGCATTCCGATGAATTTCCATGACCTGAAATGATTCGAGTGATGATAGGTGGATAAAATGATAACATTTTTTTTTATTACACACCCAAGTGTGATGAACGGTAGACGGGGTGGAACCCCATAATCACGAGGACCTGCTGTTCAGTGATGGAAACCGGTAACCTAAGCCCCGGGACTTGAAGTGGCGAACCACATAAGGCCCCGTTAGGTTGGGTGTGGTATTGAACCGGACGACAGCAGAGCTGCCTACCACCAAAGTCGGGTGGTGGTGGTGGTGGCGGAGCTCGAACCTCGGACCATGGGGTCTAAAGCACGCCGGTGACAGCGACTAAACCACTGCGCCACCACCACCCTATTACATATTATGAAATATTAGAAAATGTGATGCAATGTGATCAGAAATTGTCAGCAACAACAAAGGGGGGCCAAAAGGAGTATGTACACAAACAAGTATTTGTGCAAAAAACCAACTTTATACGCGGCGCCTTCATAGGGCTTTCAGATTGTAAAAAAAACAGCTCTATTGTGATAGCTTGTCACCGCGTGCATTACACCGAAAACAACAAAACTACATGGCCGATTGAATAAGTGGTTGATACCGAGGGTTGTAGGCGTACGCCATTTATATGGTGAGAACACTCTCCTTCGTCAAATATTTCACTCTGACCGAAGCAACTGAATCGATTTTTGTCCAGACAGGACGGTGGATATGTACTGCTAATGAGCTCTAATAACAGCGAAACTCGAGTCTAGTGCTTCCAAGTGTATGTTTACCTGGATGCACTGAGGATTGTGCTCAAAGGTGGAGTCTGAATGATAGTCAATTCAAATGAATCAATTTTATCGAATTAGATTCAGTACTAGAAAATACATAAATCAACTTCCCACCCCATCCCCGGTCAGTCACTGACCTTGCGAAACGCTGCCTTCAAATAATCCGCGTGGGTGATTTTAGCAAAGTGACACGTGACCGGGAACTGACGCGATTCGACGTGAATAACCGGCGGTGGGGAAGGACATACAGCTGGCGGGAAAAGTCGACGATTCTCAGCGAAATCTGTCACGCGCAATGTGGCCGACATGATGATTAATTTGAGCGGAGGTAGGATCCGATCCCGAGTGGACCGCTGTTCGGTGAACCGTCGACGACGCAATCGCAAAACCATGGATATTAGACCCAATAGAACATCGGTAAATATGGATCGCTCGTGAGCCTCATCCACAATGATGGCGGAGTATCGTGAAAGTTCAAAGTCCTGAAATGAATGGAAAAAAGACAATGAATTCGAAGCAAAATTCTTTGAATGCAATAAAATATGTCGATACAGATTATTCAGAAAAGGAATGTGTGAAAATTTGGATTTGATCATGGCTGACTTTCAGCAACTATCAGATGAATGGAACACAGTTTGCAAGGAGCATGAAAGCGATTATCGATCGTACACAAATGAAAACCGTTTTACTAGCCTTGGCGCTTTTCAATCCGCTGATCATTCGTGGTATCTGGTTTGATTTCATATCAATGGTGGATAGATTCGAAACTGGAAACGGATATGCAGCTCTCATTATGAGAATAATATGATTTTTGGATTCTCTAATTGACTAATGAAGCCGGGTTCAAAAAGCATCGTGATAATACCAAACTCTCGAATCGTAACAAATGGTGAAAGTGAACTGGTTTTGTTGTTCTTGCCCAATTGCATGCGAGAGCTATACGCAGTTTAAGGAGACTTGCTTTTCCGGTGTTGCTTATTAATAAACAATTTGATCACCGCTTTTTCTGTTATATATCATGATGTCACTTCAAATCAGAATCACGTTTGGTTAAAGCACATTTCACATTGAACTCGGTACCTAACTGTGACCTGATTTGGAGGGAATCGTTCGATTGGGGCTAATAGATAGTCAACTGCGTTTCTCTTCAATGCCGTCGGACGATAAATGAACTGATAGACTATCACTGAAGACGAGACACCTGAACAAGCATGAATAATGGGCGATTCGATTTAGCCCTGGTATGAGTTAACTGACACAGTGGTAACACACACACACACACCTTTTACACGATGAGTTCCGAGTTCAAAGCCCGGAAGGTGGGTATGCATTACTGATGAGCTCTAACAAGAGCAAAACTCGAGTCCAGTGCTTCCGAGTGTATGGTTGACTGGATGCAATGATCATGCATGAATACTTGACACAGCTTCGCATCACGTCTCAAAATGCACTCCCTCTCCTAGACTACGGAGTTAGGGACATGTGTTGCACATATCACCAAATAGGTTGCCAGGGCGAGCACTGTTTGCCGAGGCAGGCAATGGATGGGAAGAGGCCAATGACAACTAAACTAAGGCGTGGCATAAGGGTATGAAAACCCCAACCATAGGTCACATAGATTCTGTTAGGCTCCCTGACTGGGGATCTCGGGATGATCGTAACCGATGGTTAGAGACACTGAGCGATAAGACTGGGTGTCGTAAACAGTGGCGTTCGTGCATCTCCTCAATTTCTTCGCAACCTTAGACCACTGAACTTCTCGATTTTCTGTTCGACTTCACTTTCAACTTTCCTTTCTTCTCCTATTCTTCATCCACATGGGCAGTCAAAAGAGAGCAACCAAAACCGGCGCATGAATATGCGTGGTTAATGGTTGTACAAACTGAAAACTGTCCAGTTCATTGGATCGTACGCCCTTTGGAGGCGGTCAAAAGTCCAAGGTACCCAATACACCTTGATGCCCAATTGTACCGGTAACCACTGCCGCAACTAAGGTGTGTGTGTGTGTGTGGTTCGTACGTCTCTTCTTGGTCGGTTTGGGATCAGGGAGTTTAGCCGGGTCCCCTAGGTGAACTTCCAACGGTTTACCAACCCGGTTATAGCCCCCGATTTCGGCTTTTCGTCATCTAACTTTGGTGCGAAAACACCTCCGCCACTTACAGACAGTGTAGAGATTCCTCATCAGAGGCTATTTGAGACGCTTGGTTACATAGGAGCATTTCGCGATGTCAGATAATGATGACCCGTAACAATCCCAGACACTCACCCCGACCATTCAGAGGCTTTGGAGACTGATATTTATTTACGACGAGTTAGCTTACATGTCTATCAGAAGATTGCCATGAATCATTCTTAGTGCTCCCACAGTGATATTTACTTGTTGGGTCAGTATGCTTACTAATCATGAGCTTGGGAAAAACTGTCTGACAGTGTTATATTATTTCTGGACGCTTTTCATGCAGCACTAAAATAAATATTCGCTTTCAACTTTGAGAATTTCTTTTTATCGCACGAATCGATTGCTTTCCGTTTTGTTCGATTCTACGGGGTTTGCCAAGAGTGGGCGAGATAAAGTAAAGACATAACTGCTCATGTTTGCTAGGCCACTAATGAAACAGCCCAGTCACCAACGTTCACCCCAATAACTTCGACTATAGCCTCCAAACAAATTTTCCCAATTGAATAAGTTCAACGGATTCACGCAATAAAAATGTGTATCGCTTTGAGCACACCGTAAGCACCGAACCCATCCCTGGTCGTAGGTACTGTAATGAAGCTGTCATCAATGTCCGAGCAACTCCAATCAGCTGTACGTATAATACGCAGCGAACAGCGCGTCGCCGTTTGGGCCTATCCAGTTGCGTCCATCTTAGCTGTCTTGCGCCAATCGCACGGCTTCACCGACCCACCAAATCGTCGCCCATCAGCAACCTCAACAAAATACAAGTCTGAGGTCTGTCTCATTTCAAAACAGATAGTGTAGTATAACAGGTGGTTAATCAAACGATAGAATAATTCGATGCACTGACCATTGATTTCCGTTAAACGGAGCCGGATCCAATCCCAGCGTTTCTTTCTCAATCCAGAGAGACAATTTCTTAATTCAAGGTAGTAGTTTTTCGCATTTATCGTGGAATGTTAGCGACAAGTTTCCAAAATGTTACAGCACCGGCATCTTCAATCGTTTGATCACGTGCTCCGACCAACTTACGCAGCAGACTGAAGACCCTGCACCCTGTGTAAATGACGTTGAAAATTAGATGATCAACTCAAGATCTGGAGCAGTACCATCGAGACTGATATGGAGCGACTGGTTCTCCAATCTGTTTATGGAGTAGGTAATTGTAACTAAAATAGGGTCTCACACCACGTCAACCTTGTCTGTCTGTGATCGTTACGTGTGGGGAATAGGAGACATCCAAGAAACCGGTAGGAGTTAGTCGCTCAATCTGGTGATCCCAGCCCACGAAATAATACCACAACCACAGTTTCTAGACAACGAACCACAGGCCAATAGGGCAACCAGCCAGAAGCCACGTGGTTCAAACGGAAGCTGTATGATGTCAAGAATGCAAGCAGGCCATTGGCGAAGACCTGTTGAACCAATGACATTTTTGTACAAATTATTGAATCCCATTCTCCTTAATAAACAACCTCTTCCTCCACGAACATTTTTCTGTGTATCGATGACTGGAGGTTACAGCCCGCAATTGATAGTGTTATTGTGCCTCAGTCCGGAACGTGATTCATGATCCGTAATTCGTATCTGGTCCTATAAGTACAATAAACATAGAGACTGATAGGACTAACGATTAAAGCTTTGGGACGACAGCTTTGGAGATAAGAGATCAGTTTCAGTTTCATTTTATACAAATATTAACCATACACTATCGTGCTCCGGTTTTGGTTGCTATTTTTCGGCTGCCCATTTGGATAAACATTAGCAGAAAGAGGGGAAAAGTTAAAAGTAGGATCGAAGAGAAGATTGAAACGTTCAGTGGACTAATGATACAGGGAAATTGAGAAGATACAAGAACGCCACTGTTAACGACACCCAGCCATATCAATCAGTGTCTCCAGTTTCCCGAAAAATTCGTAACACCCACCCTCACCTCATCCCTAGATTTCTGGATTATCTCCGCTCCCATATGCACGATAAGCATTTTTAGAATCTAGACGGCAAACAAATGAGAAACTTAAATACGAAATTTCATCAAATTACCTTCAATGTTAAAGCAAATATATCGAGAAGGGATGGAATTTTCATCGCGACATTTATATTCTTTATGAGACTTGTGTGATGAACAACGGGTGGGCTGAACTCCATACTCTCGAAGACCTGCCGTTTAGTCATGGAAACCGTAACCTAAGCCTCGAGACTAGGAGTGGCGATCCCCATAAGGCCTCGCTAGGTCAGGCATGGTATTGAACCGGACGAAAGCAAAGCTGTCTGCCAACAAAGTAGGATGGCATTAGCGGGGCACGAACCTCGGACCATAGAGTCCAAAGCACGCCGGTGACAGCGACTAAACTACTGCACCATCACCACTCCACTATCCACACAGACGTCACACCCCCTAATCGGTTTCAAAACGGGTACGATAGACATCCCGAGTTCGTCCTTTATATGGTAACTGACAGACTGGTGTGAGGTACAGTCACGTCACTCTCAATTACCTTGAAAGAACAAAGACATCCAGGTAAGTCACTACAAGTCATTGTTGACTATAGAAAGACGGAGGAGATTAACTGATAAAAGAGAAATCCAGAATTAATGCCTTTGCGATCATCATCATCATCATCATTGTACAGCGAAATACAGAGAAGCGAACTACACTGATCGCTGCCAAACTCGTAACGCGTATGCATTGGGGTTTGATGGACGGGTACTGGTAGGTCGTCCAGCCACTAAGCATTTGTGAGGTCAATGACAGCACACGTGAGATAGCCAGACGGTGGTATGAGAGTTGAAGCGGAAACAGCTGAAAACCAATCATAAACGGATAGAACACCAGAAAAAGCTCCCGGAGAAGGGAAAGGACAGATTGCTATCTATGGCCTCGAACTCCGTGAGTCATGCATCGGAGATGTTTGAGTTGAGCGTTTCGGTGCGAACGATAAAAAGAACATTTAAAACGGTCCCTTGGAGGAGATACGAGAGACTTGAAAGGCACATAGCTCTAACGACTTTATCAACTAAAAATCTTTCCCCGTAGACTGGAACTCATGTAACTTGGAAAAACGAATGGAATTTTGTCAACAGCGTGGAAAATAACAAGAGGTGTGGAAAGAACGTCATTTCAGTGGATCAACGATCGGAAGTCCGTGACAGTACGAAGTGCTTTATCAAGCAACGGTCACCCGAACTCGCTATACTGTGTGAAGTGTTTGGTTCTGACGCATATATTCGTACATTGGAGCAGCACCTTATGCCCGCATTGCGTGATGTTCCGGAAGCCCTTTTCCAGCATGATATTGCCATGGTTCATCACTCGTATTCAGCAAAATGTTAGTTATCATTTTGCACCGTCCCGCATGCACTCCAGAATTGAACCGAATGGAAGTATCCGTGCTATTTTCAGCGGAAAGATGCACCTTCACTCCAACGTTCACACCACAAAATATGAATTAGACATGCTTGATTAGGGAGTGGAATACTCTCGACACGGATATGATTGGAAATCTTATGCATTGATCGACATGTTAGGTGCTCCG